GAATAGAATAGAATAGAATAGAATAGAATAGAATAGAATAGAATAGAATAGAATAGAATAGAATTAGAATAGAATCTTTATTAGAATAGAATAGAATTCAGAATAGAATAGAATAGATTAGAATTAGAATTAGAATAGAATAGAATCTTTATTGAGAATAGAATAGAATGCAGAATAGATTAGAATGCAGAGTAGAAAAGAATTAAATGCAAAATAGAACAGAATGCAGAATAGAATAGAAGAATAGAAAATAGAATAGAATAGAATGAAACTTTATTGTCAAAACTTATCTGGCTTCCCTGTTGACTTTGCTTGTCAGAAGGTTGAAAAAGGGGACGACGTGACCCCGGGACACAGCAGCTGTCATAAATATGAGTCAGTTGCCAAGTATCTAAATTTTGATCATGTGAACATGGAGATTCTGCAACGGTCCTAAGTGTGCAAAACAGTCATCATTCCCTTTCTTCAGTGCCACAGAGCAGATGTTTTAAACAAACCTCCTCGACGGAAACCAGAACATTCGGGGTGTTCTTATGCTTTCTAAATATATATATATATATATCTTGGAGAAAAGCGTTTCTCCCTTCTTCTCCTTCCCCAGATCAACACGGATGCAGTTGGGTTTGGTCAACGAGACTCAACTCTACGTGCCAAGCCAGTCCACCTTTTCAATACTCACATCCCCGTTCATTAGCTTGCAGTCATCATCCATCTCATCGGCGCTGTCCTCGTCGGAAACTTCGCCCTCTTCAACATCTTCACTGATGTTGGCTGGAAGCTTTTTCCCCTAGGATGCAAAAAAATGTCATTGGGAGATAAGTAGACACCCAAGGCCAACTGGCATTCTCGTTGCTGTGCCAAAATTTATTTATTTTATTTATTTATTTGGTTTGTCAATTGCTTACAAGATAAAAGATATAAGTAAAACATAGTTATGGATACATATAAGAAAAATAAAAAGATATATAAAATATATAAAATATATAAAAGAAACAATAGGACAGGGACGGTAGGCATGTTGGTGCGCTTATGCACAGGCCTCTTAGGAAAGGGGTGAAGTCAATAGTAGACAGTTTAAGGTTAAAGTTTTTGGGGTTTGGAGAAAAAAACAGAGTCAGGTAGAGTATTCCAGACATTGACCACTCTGTTGCTGAAGTCGTATTTCCTGCAATCAAGTTTGGTGCGGTTAACCTTGAGTTTGTATCTATTGTTTGTTCTTGTATTGTTATGGTTGAAGCTGAAGTATTCATTGACAGGTAGGATATTGCAATGTGTAATTTTATATATTATACTTAGATTCAAAATCAAAGGAAATTGTTGAAAATGTGAATATGATTTGAGTTGTATTGGTGGAAAACACAATAAAAAATTAATATATAGATTAAAAAATAAGAAAAAAATTCCCAGGTGGCATCGGAAAACTGCTCTCATGGGATTGCCAAGAAAACCACAGAGATGTGTCGAGAAAGTAATTAAAAGAGGGGTTTTTTCCCCTTCATCTGATCTTGAGGTCTGCACCAATCTGGCTTCAAATCTTGGCCAAGCTGTTTTCCTTCCAGCTAACCCTCCCTCCATCTTGCCACAAAGAATCAGAGAGCTTCCAACAGGGCAAACGAGAGATATTATATTTATTGATCGATCAATCTCGCCACAAAATCCCAGAAGGGGATTTAGATTGATTAGGAACGCAGAATCCGAAGCGTGGATCAAAGCTGAGTGGAAATGAATTGCTTTCAAGAGGGCCAAAGCCTCTTGAAAAAGCTCACTGTGATCTGCACCACTCCAAAAATCCAATCACTGAGAACTGGGCAGCTGCCACAGATTTTTCTAAAACTGTTTTTTGGGGAAAATGGAATTAAACTCTTCGCAGCATAAAGCACGGAACCGAGGGAGGAAAAGTGCAGGAAAGAAAAGAAGGGCTTAACTAAAATAAAAATGTATTATTATTATTTATCATAGGTTTGGAAGGAACCGAAGGGCAAATGAGTTAAAGTTAATTACAACCCCGTTTAGTTACTTTAACCTCCCGGTGCAGGTCTGATTCAGCGACAGTGAAGCAGTGAATTTAAATGTCTGATTGAGGGTTGCCAATTAGTAAACCGAGTGATGTCGGAGTCCCCAAAACGTGGCAGCATAGATGTACAAAGGGCCACTGAATCTTCCAATCGGTTCGAAGGTCCAATGACATTTCACTTGCAAGGGGCAACTGCATCTAATTACTTTTGGGTTGATGCTTTGCATGGTGCAAATTTGCACATTTGTTCTAAATTACTCCACCAGGCCCAGGGGTGGGATTCTACCAGTTTGGACCAGTTCTACAGAACCGGTTGTTCCCATTCTGTGCAGTTTGGAGAACTGGCAAATGGCGCCACTGGCTGGCCCCTCCCCTCCCCTCCCAGCCCCACGCGGTCACTCCTTATCTCGCATGCGCACCATCCAACTGTGTTGTGCAAGCAAATTTTATGTGACAGACTCAGGCAGCAGATTGCAGAAAGAGTAGATCTGTGAGTGAATCTGTGATTCTGCAAGCCACTCCATCTGCCTGCCTGCTTTTGGGGTAAAAGTTGTTCTTTTTTAAAATAAAAAAATTCAAATATTTACATAATTATTTATTATTTATTGTCAATTTACATATACATAATAATAGTAATAATAATATTATTTACTTGTATATATCATGGTATTCTTCCAACTTCTGATTTCTACCTTTATTATCTCACCATTGGTAAAACAAATCCCAAGTTAAAAGAATATTAGTTAGAAGTTAGAAGAATACCATGATATACAAGTAAAGAATATTATTATTACTATTATTATGTGCATGTAAATTGACTCAGACAATACACTGTTTATTAAGCACTCATATATGTTAAAGAAAAATGTATAAATGATTTTTTTTAAAAAAAAAAGTCCAGGTTCAATCTTGAATCTTAATGATGAGAGAATCGGTGTTGTTTGGATTTTTAATGGGTATTCCTCGAGTTATATTGAGCCCCAAATTTTATGTGGTTAATCAAGGTATGGGTTAAGGGAGTTAATGCCCTGTTTTCTGGTCTTCTTTCGTAATTCCTGGTTGAGGGGGGGAATTAAATTGAATTCGACCTGACAGAAGCGTAACTGGAAGAGAAGAACATGGTTACCGAGGCTTTTCGCTTTGGGTTCCCTGGTGACCAGGCAGTTGCTTTTTACCTATCAATGCCTCTCAGTAGTCGACACACAGTTCAGAACAGTCCCTCCTAATTTTTTTTATTTCCTAGTGGGTGCTCTGTGATGCGTGGCCCTGGGTGACATGATACATGTCCGTTGGTATTTTTCGACAAAAAAAAAAGAACAATAACAATGTTTGGTATTGAAATGGACCTTCTGGATGGATTAGGGAGCTTTTGCGTTGTTCTATTATTGTAGAATAACATTGGTTCCTTCTTCCTGTTCTGCACAGGCTGTTGAAACTACCACTTAAAAAAACCCTGCACGATAGACATTAGAACAACAGAGTTGGAAGGGCCCTTGGAGGTCTTCTAGTCCAACCCCTTGCTCAGGCAGGAGACCTTAAGACTTATGGCATTGCCAAGTTTCGTGTAAACAATTTGATTAAACTTGCTTAGTAGGAAACAAGCTTCCTACTTACCTTTTTTTTAGCTTTATTTATGATGGCCTATGCTCCGGAGCCTTCGTGTTAATAATCTCAGTTGTCAAGGGGATTTACCTAAACTAAGCAAGCCTCAAGTGAGCTGGTTAAGTTCAATCTATCTTTTATTCCTTTCCATTCTATTTTCTTCTATTTATATTCTATTTCTATTTATTTTCTATATTCTATTCTATTCTATTCTATTCTCTTCTATTCTATTCCACCCTTTTATTGCCTACACCTTATATTTGATCTTATTTTATCTCCCGTATTACCTAAAGCCAGTCAATGATTAAATAAAGTCCATTGACTTAACACTCTTGATTTTAATTGGCTGTTAGGCAGCTTAAATATAGCTGACCCCATCCTTGGGAAAGGTCAAGAGGAGGTTCTGGGCCGCATCCTGGCTGCCAGAGAGATGCCAACCCAATCTGGTCTGTGCCTAATTTTGTCTTTGATTACCTTAACCAAGATTTTTCCCTTGAGGCTCTCCGGGGAAGGCAGCTCGTTGGAATCCTCGCTGTTGACCGTAGACAAGTCCAGTTTGTCGCCCAGGATTTCAACCAGGTACTGGGCCATCTTTTTCTGCTGGGTAACGCTGCAGTGGTTCTCGATGGACAAAATGACGGGGTATCTGTGCGGGGTGAGAAAAGCCATGGACGGAAGAAACGTGAAGACGCAAATTCTATCCTCCCAAATTCTAGTGGCGGTGACGATATTTGCACACGGTCTACAAGAGCCTACAAACTTGAAATTTGGCACATATGTTCCTCTTGGTTTCTAGGTGCTCAGTAGGAAAGGATTTTTCCAAATGAGCCTCGGAGCATTAGTACTTCCTATAATATTATTATTAACACGCTCTGATGTTCAGGAGTTCTATTCTGCCTCCCCACCTGAAAAGAAATCTCTTCCAAAGGCAAAACACAAGCAGAGGAGTTTCAGTTTCAGTTTCAAGCAGCTTTAGTACAGAACAGTTGAGCTAAGCCACGCCCAGGCTCCTTGCTGTCTTCTTTTTGCTCACAGCAAATACTCTTTCAGTTTCCAAACAGCCCTCAACTCTCTCACACACTGACAAGATGCTAGCCAGGTGAATGCCAATGGATGCTGGTAGGCAGAGGCAGAATTTCCCCCCCCCCCTTATTTTCCTCCCCAAAAACTAAGCCCAACCCCATAGTATCGTGGCAAAGTACAGGTATCGAGCTAGTAGCAAAATAAAGGAACGAACGTCATCCAGGTAGACTTAAGCAGCTGGTCCTCAAGGTGGGAAAGACGTACTCATTTTTGATGAAGGCGTATTTGTTGATGGTCTCAATCACATCTTTGAAAAGGATCTTGGAGGTCAGGGTGTAGCCGTGGTGGACAATCGGCTCGCCGTCTGGACCGTCCCAGCAGTCAACTGGAAAAGGGAAAAATAGGGATTATTTAGACCTGCATCGTGTGTTTTGGTACGTATTTTGCTGTCTGGAACCACCAAATCAGGCAGGAAAGTACATCTTTGGGACGGTTTGAGACTCTCCAGCTTTCAAAAAGTGCTAATGGGGAAAAGCCTCCCAGAGGCCAGAGGACTCACTGGGAGAATATGGTTGGCATGGACCGAGGATGGCTTGAAGGGTTCGGAGCACAACCGAAAAGACAAGCTGGCTTCTTAGGATAGCGGAATCTCTCCCTCCTTCATCGGGAGAGGGGCAAAGCTGGTTTGAAAAGAACGGGACAAAAAAAAACCCAAAGCTGTTTGTTTAACACAAAGAAGCCAAACTGGGGAAGGAAGGGAAAAAGAGTCAAAACTGAGTGAAGGGTTAACTACCTGCCTTCAAAAGACCCTCCCAAGGGGGAGGGGGAGAGGGAGGGAGGGAGGGAGGGAGGGAGAGAAAGAGAGACACAGAGGGAGGGAGGGAGGGAGGGAGGGAAAGAGGCAGACAGACAGAGAGAGAAAGAGACAGGGAGGGAGGGAGAGAAAGAGAGAGACAGGGAGGAAGGAGGAAGAGAAGGAAAGGAAAGAGAGAGTGAGGGAAAGAGAGAGACACAGAGAGAGGAAGGGACGCAGGGAAAAGACAAAGAGAGAGGAGAGAGAGAGAGAGGAAAGAGACAGAGATGAGAGAAAGAGAGAAATGGGGGAGGGAGGGAGAGAGAGAGAAATAGAGACAGGGAGGGAAGAAGAGAAAGAGAGAGAGAGTGAAGGAAAGAGAGAGACACAGAGGAAGGGAGGAAGGGAAAAAGACAGAGAGAGAAAGAGTGAGGGAAACACAGAAATGAGAGAGACAGGGAGGGGGGTAAAGAGACAGAGAGGAGGGAGAGAAAGAGGGAAAGAGAGAGAGAGAGAGGGAGAGGGAGGAAAGAGATGAGAGAGAGAGAAAGGAAGAGAGAGATGGGAGGGAGGGAGAGAGAGAGAGGAGAGAGAGAAAGAGAGAGAGAGAGACAGGGCGAGAGGGGAGGGAAGAAAGAGAGAAAGAAAGAGAGAGAGGGAGAGCGAGAGAGCGTGCGCACCACAGCTTTGTCTGTCTGGAGTGGGGGACAATAGGGAATTGTGCACCTTGCCCTCACACAGCTGGGTTCCCAAATGGGACACCTGGAAGGCAGGTCCTTCCTCAATCTCACCTTCCACACATCGGCACCCGGATTGCAGAACCCAAGCGTACATGTCCACTCTGGACTGGGACATCAGCTGGTCTCCCATGAGGTAGGTGTTATGGGACGAGGCGATGAAATAGTGGCTCAGCGGGCGAGTCATGTCCTGGTTGATGTGGTAATGTTTGGGGTTGAAAATGTCCCCCGCAGGGCTGCGCATGTAAGTGGTGAACCCTGTGAGGAGAAGGAAAACCAGAAGGTGCATCTTTATTCCAGGATGACCTTGGGGGGGGGGACCCTCCTTACCCCCATGTTGGCGTGTCTAAGAATTCCCAGAGAACATGGCCTTGTCAATCCCAGCAGACAGGTAATCAAAAACCGGGTACATTCAATCATATGTGGTGGATTTGCATTAAAGAAAAACAACAACAACAACTTCGGGCAAAAATACAAAGACGGATAGAAAAGATAAAAGGGAAATATTTAAAACCCGAATTGGGATGCTATCAGAAAAAAATGGTCCAGAAAAAGTATGTATTTAATATTACGTGTCTTAACAGGGGCGAGGATTATTTTCGCCCAATATTGGAAAAAATGATGGAAGACTGCAAGATGAAGAGATCGTTAAGAAGATATTAGATTGTGCAGAAATGGATAGACTTCACGCTGAAAAATCATACACAAAGATGACACAGAGTGGTTACCAAACATGGAATTGATTTTACCAATGGTTGGGAAAAAAAGGGGGTGGAGAGCAAGAAGGGAATTTGTATTGTTGAGCAATTTAAATGCCTGGACAACACGATGTTTATCAAGCACTAAGAAATGTAATCAATGGAAAATCCATAAAATCTTCCCCGAAAATAAGACCGGGTCTTATATTATTATTATTTTGTTCCAAAAGATGCATTAGGTCTTATTTTCAGGGAAATAGGGTACTAAATACATCTGCCTGTCTGACGATCTTAAACTGGGGCTTCTTTTAGGGGTAGGGATTATATTACGAGCATCCTGAAAAATCATGCTAGGGCTTATTTTCCAGTTGGCTTATTTTACTAAATGTGTCCGCCTGACAATCTTAACTAGGGCTTATTTTAGGGACAGGGTTTATATTATGAGCATCCTGGGGGGAAAAAATCATGCTAGGACTTATTTTCTGGTTGGATCTTATTTTGGGGGGGAAACGGGGTATTTTAAACAAAAATTCCGGCGGACATTTGTGGGATTCCAGGCATCTCTGGAAGATGAAGGAGGGAGAACCAAAGAACTTGAGTTGGAGAGATGTGATTTCAAGTGATCTGAAGCTGAACTTACTCATCACTTAATCTCCCTGTCGGAATGACTGACAAAGGAGGAGGAGGATGAATTATGAGACACCCCCGCCCCTGAATGCTTAACTTTTCAGAGAAAGAAGGATAATTATCAAGACAATGGCTTAAATATGCTCAAGTAATTACATGCGAGTTTAATTAACGTCGCCTGAGGACATCGGCATGGAGAAAAATCCATAGTAACGCAGAGAAGCCATCGCTGTCATCACTGGGTGAGATTCAGGTAGTCCTCGAACTACGACTACAACAGAGCCCAAAATGTCTGGGGTTGAGTGAAGCAAGTCTTTCCTCATTTTGCGACCTTTCTTGCGACGGTTGTTAAGTGAACAACGGCCGTTGATAAGTTGGTCACCCGGGTTGTGAAACGTGGAGAGTTTGCTTGTCGGAAGTTCGCAAAAGGGGATCATGTGACCCCCCAGGGACACGGCGGCCGTCATAACTGGGAGTCGGTTGTCAAGCATCCAAATGTAAATCGTGTGATCGTGGGAATGCTGCAATGGTCGCAAGTGTGAAAAAAAATGGCCGGATGCAGAGTCCTGGAATCCTGTGATTCCTGACAAGTCAAGTCATTGGGAAACAAAAGCTCCCACAACTTCCGAGGGCAACTTCTGTTCCATGGGTTGACGGTTCTCCCTGTCAGAAAATTCCTCCTCATTTCCAGGTTGAATCTCTCCTTGATCGGATCTGGGAAGGAAGGTCGTAAAATGGAGCCAAATTCACTTCACAAATGTCTCCTGAGCAAATCCTGGGCTTCCATTCTGGTCGTAACCTGAGGACTTACCTGTACAATCCGGGCCAGGAAATGCACCTAAACTCCTTCCCATCCTCCATGGCATTTGTGCCAGCCGGGTCCATGGAGAACCAATTAGGCAGGAGGTGAAGGCTGAGATATACACAAGATTTCTACTGAGAGTGGAGTGTTTTTTTTTGGGTTGAAACTCCGGAAATTTCCCTCAAGCTCGTTCGACACGCCTTCCCACTTGGGGAAGTGGGCTACCGAGTCAGGAGGGGGTCTTTTTCAATGCTTTCCCTCCCAGGCAGCCCCCCCCCCCTGCAAAAGCCAGCCTGCAACTTTAAACACGCTTCTTCATCCGGTCCTAATGATGTGCGATCTTGGCTTCCTTCGTTTGATCCTCTCCAACTGAGTGAACTAATTTCCCACCGGCTCCAGTTGGTTTTGGCTGTTTCCTAATCCTTCCCAACCACAGCTTGGTGTGTGTGTGTGTGTGTGTGTGTGTGTGTATGTGTGTGTTCTCCTCCAGTTGGATTTTGTCTGCACTCTTGGGTGGTGGCGACAGCTCCATGGATTTTTGTTGCTATAGACTACCTAGCAACTGGGAAGCATGTTGCATGTTTAATAGGCGTGGAGCCTTCTTGGAACGGCTGAAAGGACCGAGTTGTAGACAGGAGATAGATGATGTTGTATCCCTACCCCCCCCCCCCACACACACACCTGTTGAGGGAGGGCCGTTCAGTTTGGACACAGGTGGCACCTTTGACCCCCTCTTTCAAACCAGCGGTCCTCTCTGGCCAAATCGGCACAACTCAGGTGACCCCGAGGATATAGATAAAGCTCCAAGTGGCCTCAACAGCTCTCTAAAAGTATGCAAATGACCAACAGTCTGCAAGGAGTATAAATCCTTCCGTTCCCCATCGTTCAGAACCTTCGCTGAAGAAGCTTCTTGGATGAGAAGTGAAACCTCTTCAAAGATAAAAAAACAAGAAAGTGGGACCTCGTCGAAACATCGCCAAGATGCTCTCAATCTTACACGGGAAAAGACACACACACATATTCCCAAGTGGTTCTCCATCCATCTCCATTTATTTTCGGTTCTCCTTCCCCAATTCCTTATCAGAATAAACCAAGGCAGACTCATTTTTCAAACCTGACTTTAACTCAATCTGTTCACACAGAATCAATACTTTTATGAAGGCGGCAACTC